AAGAGAAATTCAGTTTTTCCTTTTAATTGTTAACCAAACAATTAAAAGATGCATCGATTGATGATTAATAACAACAACAACAACAAAAGACTATTCAAATTAAGTAATTAATCAAATAATAGTAAATAATTTTAAGCTTTAATTGCACTGATTATCTTGTGAGTACTTAATATTAATGATAATTAAAAAGTTAAATAAGATAAGTGATCAACAAAAAAAGCTATCGAGTAAATATTAACTAGAATGTGAGAGATTGTGAGTTAATTGTTGAGTCAATTTCAATTGTTTTTTACGTTTTTTTCTTCAACAATTAAGAAGAAAAAAAAAGTTTATGAGGAAAAGACTTGACCACTGGTCAAATAGAACAATTTTTCTCTATAACCTTTGGCGTTTAGAGTATAACAAGTTTAAAAGTTTAGCGGATTAATAGCCAAAGAGATTATCTTAATCTTAAGATTTTCCCTTTTCTTTTTAAATGGTTTAGGGGCTAAGAAATTGCAGTTTGTGATGAGAGGGAGAGAGAGAAAATGAGTGAGTATGTGAGAGAGAAGATGAAGATGATGAGAGATTATGGGCTGACCAATAGGACGAAAGGGGAAAGATGATGATGAGGATGATGAGTGAGACAGAAAAAGGGTAAGAGTGAGAGTGAGAGTGAAATTTGTATAAATAATAACGAGACAAAATGATCACCTCACTTTAGATTCATCCAGCTAATTACAAGTGCAATTACTCCGTGTTCAAAGTCATCATCATGTTTTCATCCTCATCTTCATATTCATCGCCGACCTTTTATCCTCCGCCAACATCAATGCCCTCTCATGACATGATGTCATCAATGTATTCATTGGCTCAAGTAGCTAGTATGTATTCATCGTCGCCATCATACTCGAAACCTATTGAACCGGAATATTCAGAATCTCCATTGGAATTGACATCGTATTCATCTAAGTCACGGCGGAAAAAGTCTAATCCTAGACGGATAAGTGATCTTCAACAATCACCTTCACCAAGTAAATCGTTCAACAATCAACCACCACAGTTCCCGCAACAGCAATTAAATGTTACACCAGTTAAGGTCAACATGGAACAGCAAAATGTTCCCATGGAAAATTCACCGCAGTTTATGGCCGATCAGCCGCTTCCGTTGAAAAGTATTCCGGCTCAATCGATGATGCTTCAGAATGTTGCACTCTCATTGTTGGCTTTATCATCGACTCCCGACACTTCGGATACTTCATCTCAAGAGATTCAAGTCTCTGAATCGGAAAATAATCCACCCGCTAAGAAGAAGAAAGCAAACCCGGTGCCAGATGAATTAAAGAATGATGAATATTGGGCTCGGCGAAAAAGAATAATGAATCAGCTCGGAAAAGTCGTGAGGCGAAAAAAGCTCAGGCCAAATGGATTGAGAAAAAGATCGTCGAGTTGCAAGAAGATTTGATTCGTGCTGAAACCGAGAACAAATTTCTATCCGAAGAATTGAAAAGATTAAACTTTGAGGTCAAACAAAAGACAAATCGACATGGAAACCGAAATGTTTACAATTAATCAGCTTTTATCATTCGCATTTTCCTTCATATATTTTGACAAATTAGTTTAATAGTAAATAAAAATTATTTGAATTTTCTTTTGAATTTCTGTTTCCGCTTATCCGATTTTTCTAATGGTTCAATTTCGCCCTTCGGTTTTTTCGGTTGAACTCTAAAAACGATACAAGAATAAAAAACAAAGTCACAATTAGAATCAATGAATCAATAATTAAATTACTCAAATTACGAGTTAAACTTACGATTTAATTGAGACAATCGATTTGTGTTTTCCCATCAACATTTGATCCCAATCATCTTCGCTTCCTTTGATTACATATTTCGAGAGATGTTTCATCTCTTTGGACATTTTTTCGCGATTTTCTTCCTCTTCTTTTGTATCCTTTCCGATGCATCTTCTAGTTCATCTTCAAGAGTACCTGGTACTGGTCTCATTGAATAAATGGCGTCGAAACTTTGTTTCTCCAGGCCAAGTGCTTCCTCTATTGCCTTTTCCTGTATTGTGTTTAACCAGGTAGAAAATTTTTTCACCGCCTTCAAGAAATGGGCCAATATTTGATTACCTGGTAAACCAATTTCATCTCCCATCTCATCAATTGTTTTACCCTGAAGACCAACACCAAGTAAGATGATTAATTGTGCCGGTGATAAATGAATTGATTCATCAAATTTGTGGAGGAAAAAAAATTTAGCCAAATGAGGTAGTAAATCAGTTATACGTCGGTAATCATCACGAAAATTAGTATATATCTCAAGCCGTTTAAGATCGTGAAGGGTTAAATACATTTCCAATTCAATCTTAGTTAATTGTTGCCGTTTAATATGAGATCGGATAAAATCATTTTCTTGAAGTACTTCAACTGCTAATAAAGATTTTAAATGGTAAAAACTACATGGAAGTAGAGAGATGAATCGATTTCTAAATTGTTCCCAAAGAGTAATTAACCATTCATTTGGATTCTCTTTGTTTGAAATTTTCTCTGAATCATCTTCTTGTTCATCATCATCAACTTCATCTTCTCGAATTAACGATTTAATTAGGATACAATCGTGTTCTCGTGTTGTCTCATTTGATTCTGGATTTATGTAGATCGGTGTGTATCCATTTCGACGCCAAAATTTAAGTGACCCTTGGGTCATTCCAATATTGACCACAATGTAATCTAAAACTTCAGCTTGACGCTCTTCAAGTTTAAGAAATAACGGTTGACAATCGTCTCGAGGACTAATGTCCAACATATTGATTCCAATTTTCTCGAAAACCTTTTCAATTGGTGTTACCTGTTGTTCAATTAGTTTAATATTAAAATTTCCTTTAAAATATTCTTCAACTAATTGTAAGGCACGACGATCGTAACCATATTCAGCGATATCGTATTTAGGATTGATCGCAATTCTGATGACTCGAGCACCATGAAGAGTTAACAGTTTAGAGCTTAAATACTCTTGTTGAATTAGTTTAGAGATTGATGATTCTCCGTCGATACAATTAGCATCATGAGTCCAATTAAGTGGGGAATCTTCATCTTCTATTCGTAAGAAAATGAAACATAAAACTTCCGGTATTTTAGATTTATGACTTGTCGGTGGTAGAAGGCAAAATAAATGGTGATCCGGTGAATCGGCCATCGCTTGGATAACATTAGCGTTTACAATATAATCAGATGAGAAATAGAGACGCATCAATTTTTGTAATAGTGTTTCCGGTGATTTATGGTAACTAAATAAAGTGTTTCGATTAATGTAAAACAATTGACACTCGGATGGAGCTGGACAACCGATTGGTGTTTCTTTGGAAGCCTCTTTGGTTTCATCGCAATTCCAGTCAAGACAAAACGCTGAATTTATCCAATTTTCAACTGAATCTTTAGCTGAGAATAAAATTGGCTGGGTAAGAGTTAATTCGGTGAAGAAATTTTTTGATTCTTTTCGTAATTCTTTTAGACAATTAGTAACATGAGTTCGTCCACTGGCCTTAAATCCGTTGTTGGTTATACTGGTAAAGATCATGTGTGGACCGATAAGTGATCGTATCTGGTCTAGAGGAATGGAAGCCGATTCGTCGATGATCAATAGTTGAACCGATTTTCGGAAAAGTTCATCTTGTGATGCTTCATATGGAGAAATGTATTGAACAAATTGACGACAGGTTCGAATGATATTGATTCGAGTGATAATCTTTTCATTACTGTTAACAGGGGAAAGGATAGATGGAGATGCTAATGGAGATGAAGATGATGAGGTGAGAAGTGAACTTTTTGATGTTCGAAGGATTTGATAATCTTCACCTTCTTTGTAACCAGCTTGCTCAAGACCCATTAGAATATAGTGAAAGATTATCTCAAGACCATCTAGTGAAGTTGTGGTGATAAATATATTCGAGAAATTTAAGTTAATTGCTGCGACAATTGCTAATCCAAGAGCGGATGATTTACCTCGTCCTCGAGGTCCCATTAAACAGGCCATTTGATTTTCTTTACTGGAAATTATCTCAACCATTTTAACAACAGCTTTTGCTTGGTCTAGGGTTGAACAACAATTAACTAAACATCCAAGAGGTTGAGTATCAATTGTTGAATTTTTCAAGACATTTAGCTCATTCTCGTCGTTGTTGGTCACCTCTTCAGGTGAAACTTTTGCTTCGCTGAAATTGGTCAATGGTACGAGTTTCAGGTTATCATCGATGGCGATAAAGGTTGGACAGGTTACGAGAGAAAGAAGGAATCTTTCATTGAAGAGAGAATTTACTTTAGAAGAACAATTTTCGTAAATTTTATGACAATTCATCGAAAGTGTGTAGAGCTCCTTTAGATCTTTGATTGTATTTAATAGAAACATGATACACCCAGAGGATCGAATACATTCACAAGCGTAGGCCAATTGGTTGGGTGTTAAACAGGAGAAATCTTCAACCACCAGAATATCATAAGATTGATTAATTAATGGAAAATCATCTTTGTAGTGGATAAAATTTACCGCAACTCTATCCAATAGAATGGTAAACATGTCTTCCTCTGTTAGACTTGCATCTCCTGATTTAAGTCGCTTATGTAATTTGGATAATTTTTTCGAATCACTTTCATAGTATATTGGAACTTGTTTACATAACCATAGAACCGATAATGATGATTTATTGGTCAATTTAATTAATCGACTGTAGATTGAAGCAACAACAAGATGAGCAGATGAACCAGTAACTGCAATCACAGATCGGTCGTTTTTGGAGACATTTACAGCCAGTTTTTTCTTCACATTCGAATCTAATTTGACTTTGCCCATCTTCACGGATGATAGTTTAACAAAATTAAAAGAGAACAATCAAATTTAATTCAGTAATTACAGAGAAAATTAATTATCAACGGAAACAACGTTTTCAAAGTCTTCGCCATGAGGTTGAGTATCTAAACAGAATATCGGATCCGCTTTGGATTCGAATCCAAACTCACGTGTTTGGATTTAAAGTCTTTTTGTTTTGATTTGAATTATTTTGATTAATTTGGTTTTTTAATTGTTTTGCTTTTGTTTTTTTCGTTTAAAGTGATTAATTTAATTTTGGTGATACTTTGGTGGAACTATTGGTTAACATGGAAGAAGAAGACGGGATGGATGATCGATTTAAAAAAGTGTTAACTGATCCTCGGTTTAAACGGTTACCAAGTCGAAAGAAAAAAATTAAAATTGATTCTCGTTTTGAGGGGATGTTTGATAAGCGATTTAATGGTGAACCATTGATTGATAAAAGAGGACGAAAGGTTCAAAATACCAAGAATGATGGATTAAAAAGATTCTATGAGTTAACTGAGGATGGAGAGAAACCTGGTGTTAGTGATATTGGTCGGAAATTACGTGGTGAGGGTAATGATGAAGATTCAAGTTCTAGCGATGAAAGTTCAAGTGAAGAAGAGGAAGAAGAAGATGAAACTGAACAAGCTGGTCAAGTGGAATCAGAGGTTCCAAGGACTGAGGAAATAACCTGTCGATTTGCGATTACCAATGTTGATTGGGATCGGTTGAAAGCCGTTGATCTTTTTGTACTTTTAAATTCATTTAAACCAAATGAAGGTGAAATTGTTAGTGTTAAAATTTATCCCTCACAATTTGGCAAGGAAAGAATGGAAAAAGAAAAGCTTGAAGGACCAAAAGAATTGACCGATATTAAATTAGACGATGAAGAGGAAGATCCATACTCATCAAATGTTCAAGATGCCGATGAAATAATTAACCTTGATGCTCCTTTTGTATCAGAAAAATTGAGACAATATCAAATTAATCGATTGAAATATTTTTACGCTGTTGTTGAATGTGACAAACCGGAAACAGCGGCAACTTTATATGACCAATTGGACGGAATGGAATATGAAAGTAGTGCATCAACACTTGATTGTCGATTTATTCCCGATGATATGTCATTCGATGAAGATGAACCCGATTCCATTTGTAATGAGATGCCTTCTCTCATTGATTATATTCCGCCAAATTTTATCACAACCGCTTTACAACAAACTAAGGTCAATCTAACCTGGGATGAGACTGACCCTAAGCGAGCTAAAACTTTACAAAAAGCATTCACTGAACGAGATAAAATCTCTGATGATTTAGCTTGTTATCTTGCCTCATCATCATCAGAGGAAGAAGAAGAAGAAGAAGATGATAATGATGATAATTATGGTTCTAATCAAAATGCATCTGATGATGAGGATGAAACTGTTTCCCTTCAGGGTAAAAGTGTCCAAGATCGTATTAGTAAATATAAAGATCTGTTGAAAAGCGTTGAAGAGGAAGAAGCTGCTGAAGATGATGGAGACATCGACATGGAGATAAAATGGGAACCTGAATTGGAAAATATCGGAAAGAAAATTGCAGAGAAAAAACAGAAAGAATCAATGACCGTTTTCGAAAAGCAAATGGCCGAAAGAAAAGTTAAAAGAAAAGAGAATTCGATTAAAACGAAAACTTGTAAAAATGAAATTGACGATTCAGAGAATGAACCAGACGAAGACATGGAAAATAGTGAAGAAAATAATGAAGATTATGAATCCGAAAATGATGACAATCAAGATGAAGAATCTGAACAATCCGATGAAAACAATGAATCAGATGAAGATAATTCTGATGATAAAGATGAACAAGGAGCTGATGATTTAGCTCTATTGGTGATGGACAATGAGAAAAAGGATAAGAAACATTTTAATTACGAAAATTTCGTTGAGAACAAAAAATCGAGAAGAAAAATGAAGAAAAAAGATAAACCCCAACAAGAAGAAGATAATTTCGAGGTAAGAATAAGAACTTATTCCAATGTTTACAAATTTCCCTTCTAATCACAATTAAATCTTTTCTTCTCTTTTAATTAGTTCGATGAGGATGATCCACGTTTCAAAGCAATTTACAATTCTCATTTGTATAATATTGATCAATCAAGTTCACATTTCAAGAAAACTCAAGCATATGATAAGATATTGAAACGAAAAGCATCAAAAGATCCTGATCAAAAGTATCATGTAAAAAGATCAAAGTGAAAAATATATTTTATTAATCATCACAAAATCGATAACTGAATCAATTAAATTATCAGGAAGGAAATTTTTTCTCTATTGGAAAATTGTAAACAAATGAAGTTGTTTTTTTTGCTCTCAGAACCAAAAGTAAAACAACAAAATTGATTGTTCTTTACTTCATTTTATATAAATGTAACTTTCTTTTTTTGTTAAATTAATTTAATCACAGTTAATGATTAGATTTGGTTGATAATTTCTCGTATAAACCTTGAATTTCATCAAGATCCATGTAACATCCTTGTAAGAATCGTTGCTCATTCTGTGGATAACCTTCTCGTCCATGGAAAACCCTTCGATTATTGAAAATGGCCACTTCACCTTCTCGCAATTTAAGTGTTAATCTATTGCATGATGATCTTGTATAATTAAAGAGTTTACGAAATGCAGTGAAAAAAGTATCCATCTGATTAGCAGGTAATAAAGGAGCTCTCATGGAAAAATAGCTTAAATTAACTTCCTTAATTGTTTTAGTATTTGTTTCATCGGTAACAATGATAGGCCACTTTTGACGAAACCAAATGCTCCGTTGAGAATCATAGAAAGAAAATATTACTGGTTTGGTTAGAATATCAAATAGATGAGGTTCATTTAGTTGTAATTGTTGACCACAATAAAGTCCATCAGCGAAAACGGAATCACCACCTTCGACTGCTGATTGAATACAATGAAGTAATTGAATTCCTGGTACACGTTCACGATAACAAAGGTCAGTGTGTAATTCAAGTGGAGCCGATGAATAACTGAAATGAGCATTTGGATCTGGATTAGCGACAACATCAAATGTTGACCCATAGCCTGTTGTCCGTTCATAGGCTATTCTCCGGGCAATTGTTAATATTGTCTCCTTTTCAGTTGGTGCATCACAAATGAAAACAATTCCATAGGTGAGTAAACCTTTAAGTACATTCATGAGAGTTGATTCATCTGTCATCAATTGATCATAAGAGAATCGAACCTCACAAATTGGCTTAATTGTTTCAACATTCCATGCAATTGTATGAATTATCTTCTCAGGTCCATAAATACCATCGGCAGGATAATCAGATAAACCGTCAAATTTTCCTTTAAATAGTTGTAGCCAAGATAAATTGTAACATGATTGGTGATAATTAGAAGAGGATAAATCATCAATCCAATTGATTTTCAAGGTAACACCATCATTGGTAATTTCTGTTGGCTTTAATTGTTTCAAATCGATATCTGCTGGGTTTAATTTCTTATCCTTGGTCAATGAACTAACACACTGTGAACATCGGCAGGAGTCTCTTAACCAGGCAACATGGAAATTTTCACTTGATCCATCGAGGAAATTAACCTTAATTAAGGAATCGTTGTAATCATCAAGTCCAGTTGAAGAAGAAACTGAAATAGAATCACTTTGAAATTCCATTGGATTAGTTAGATTGAATTCTCTCTCTTTTTTTTTAAACAATCAAACAGATGAATTAGAAATTTAATTGAGATAGTAATTGATCAACTTGTTGGTTGAAGACCTTTGATCAAAATTGATTGTTAGTTTTTTTCCCCAATGATTAACTAACTCTCTCAATCTCTCCCATTTCTCTCTCTCTCTCTTTTCTTGTCAACTATTTTATATTCTGACGTAGTTAATGTTTACGTGATGATAAAGGTGATGATGAATGATGACAGAAAAGATAATGTCAATCAACAAAGAGAAAGAAAAAAATAAATTAATTGATCACTTAAAAAAAAAGAAAACAAAAGAAGAAAAAAACAATTAACTTGATTAAGATTTAGATGGAAAAGTTAACCAACTAATGAACATACAATCTAATCAACTTTCCTTCAAACTTATTCTCCATTCCTCTTAAACTAATGGTAACAATTTGAATCAATCGATAAAAGAGAAACAAAAATTAACACAACAATTTAATCAAAACGAAATAGTTAACAAAGATAATTAAGAAAATTAATCAACTTTTCCAGCTGATTTACGAAAATCAGTGTCGCCATCTAGAGGAATAAAAGTTCAACATTCGATTCGAATCCTGATCCTCAGATTTGGATTCAAGTCTCATTTTTGTAAACACGTTTTTGGAAAATTAAATTTTCAAAATTAAATTGTTCTCAATTTTTGTTGCTGTTTTGTTGATTATTTCGAGAAATTAAATTGTTAAACATTTTTCCTGTTCTTTTCTATTCCTCCAGATCTTGTAATTGTCATTGAATTTGTATTCTTTTCATCATAAGTTACCTATTGAACCACCACATGGTTTATTTTTGAAATTTGTATCAAATTTAATTGCTGTTTAATTAGTAAGTAGACATTTTTATTCATCTATTGATTATGATATGAATTGTTGATGATTTTCTTTGTATCTTCTTTTTTGTTACAGTGAGCCGTAGATCTCGAGATCTTTTGTCATTTGGGTCTAATACTTTGTCTGATTCTTTATTGGTTGTTAACAAACCCTCGTCTTCCCGAAAGCGACAAAAACGTGAATTAAACACTACTAAGGTTGAGTGTGAACTTTTACCTGCTATTCAAAATTTTCTTGCCAAGGTTAAAGCTGAAGCAAACAAAGGCCTAGAAGATTGTACTTCATCTTCTCAAGGGTCAACCTCTTCTTCGGGTTCATCAGCAGCATCAACATCTACTGCCTCATCTTCAATCATACCCTCAGGTTCATCTTTCCATTCAGCCTCGACTCATACAACTACATCATCTTCATCGGGTTCAGAGGAAACTACTTCATCCTCCGAAGAAGAATCAAGTCAACAAGTTGAATTAAACGTTCTATTCTATAAACGTGATCATAATTCCTCCGATTCGAGTAGTAGTTCCTCTTCTGAAAGTGATTCTGACACTGATTGATTGGACCCACATAATTACATCTCTTACCAACCTAAATCTATCTTCTAATTTGACTTTATAATATATAATTTTTCCCTCTAAATAGTTAATAATTTCTTATATAATGGAGGATTATGATAATGATCCTGTTCTCAATAAATACAAGTTTCCCACTCCAGCAAGAGGATCGGATGCCAAACGATTAGCAGCTCTTGATTCAAAGTTTGAACAGGAAAAAGCTTCAAAGGAATTGATCAAAAGTGCCTTATCTGGAAAATTAGTTAATAAAAAGATAATTTTTGATAATCCAGTTTCAAAAAAGCAGAAAAAACCTGAGCCCGAACCTGAACCATCTCTTGCAAGTAAAAAGCTATTCGATGATTACGATGATGGCGATGAAAACGAATCATTTAAATTGGATATTCCCTCATCAAGATTTAATAGCTCAAAAGATTCTAAAATAATTCAACTTCAATCTCGATTCGCTCATGATCCAAGGTTCAAAATTGATGACAAGTTTGTTGAAGATGACGAAGATTCCAGTTTTCCTAAACGTGGTGGCAATAGAGATCGTAAAACTGATGATGATTCAGATGATTTGAACAAGGAGAAGGAAAAAGATTTGGACATTCTCGAGGAAGTACTTGGTAAACCATTAAAGAGAAAATATAAACACCCTGAAGAGAAACAAGTGACCAGATCAATCATTATTCCTCGTTATGATCCAACAAAACCCGAATCACAAAAATTTAAAATTCGTAAAGTTGACAAACTTGAACCCTATCAATTACCCAATGAGGAAGAAGATGAACCAATGGACAAACCAGAGGTCAGCAAGAAAAGATTTTACGAAATTAGTGAAACTTTCAAAAAAGATTTCGATGATGAGCAAAACGATGGTCAAGCTTTCAGTTTAACCGCAATGTTTGGTCGACCTGCAGCCGATATACCAGAAATTAGCGCAGAAGTTGGTACCATAAAAGAGAAACGAAGCAAATCCCATGATACTAAAACCGATGATGAAAATTTCAAAAAATCGAAGAAAAAATTTGAATCAGCTAAACAATCAATTGAAAAAGTCGATTCCAGCAAAGAAGATTCTGATTCTGATTCCAAAGGAAAAAAATCAAAGTCTAAAAAGAAATCAAAGGAAATCCAATCAATTGACGAAAAGAAATCCATCTATGAATCTAGTGGTGAAAGAAAACCAATTGATTTAAAATCAATTAAATCAAATAAAAGTAAAGTCTCCAATCCATTGTTGAAATATGAGCGATTCTTTTTCGCCGATAACGATGGACGATTGACCAGTAATTCCTTTTACAATGTTGATCGAATCAAAACTCACACATCATCTTGGAAAGAAAAGAAAGTCGTCATGTCAACAGTAAGTTAACAATTTAGTTACAATTCTAAACATTTGATTGTTAATCCAACAATTAAACTAATCACTTTCTCTTCCATTTTCAGGCTCTCACCAAGAAACGCCGACATTTCAAGCACGTTTCCAAATTGAAATCAGCATTGGAAACGGGAGATTCTCGAGACAAAGATTTACGAACTAAATATCGAGTCTACAAGGAGACAACGAAGAAACATTGATTTAGTTTCTCTCTCTCTCCCAATTGTATCTAATTGTGATAATCAACAATTAAACTTTGCTCATGTAAAAAGCAATCATTTAATTTTTTTTTGTATTACAATTAGTTCTCAAAGGGTTTATCAAGGTTTAATTACAATTAACAATCAAGGTTTAGGTAAGCCGTTTTCAAGCTTCCTCGTTTAACTAAATTAAACCTTGATGAAAATAATTTTGAATTAATCATCATCATCATCATCATACTACACTTGAGGCAATTAAACAAACAATATTAACTAAGAAAACATCAATGTAAACTATTAAATCTTAAATACCTTCAATTGTAATTAACCTTCCCGATAAATTAATCAACAACGACAAAGTTTTTGCTAAACTTTCCTTGGGTAGAAAATTATAATTCTCATAGAAATTAAGTAAATTATTCTAATAATAATTGATTAACTAGAATATACATTTTCTCTTATAATAATGATGAAGATGATTAACTAATTAATCAGCAATTAAACTCATCTATCAAACTCATTTTGATGGGGAAACATGCAAATTGATTGATTGGAAATTGGATTTAGTTTTCTTAATTGTTATATATATTTAATTTTTGTTTTGTTTCAAAAATTGTTAAGGTTAATGATGATGATCAAGGTTAATCATCGTCATCACAATTAACAACAACAACTCACTAACTATGTTTAAATATAGTTAATAAATGATCAGAAATCATCATTTGATTGTTACCATCCAATGAGTTTGATTTAATTTAGTTTAACTTTGTGAATTGATTTGCTTTCATTTTGGTGAAAATAATAATGTTACTAAATGTTAATTTAACCAAACTGTTAACAATTAGCTTGATTGTGTCGTTAAGTGTTTACATGGTAAAATCAATGGAAACAATTAACCAACGAATCGATGATCAAGTTAATTACCATGAGGAGTGTTACCGAACTCAATGTAATACAAAAACTTTTTTCGTCATGAAAAGTGTATCACAATTACCGGAACAATTAGTTTATTGTAAAAATAATCGTCACTGTGATTGTTGTATAAGACAAGATTTAACTAATCAACAGGAGAAACAATTAATGGAACAATTAAAAAGACTAAATGAAAAATTTGATTCACTGATTCCCGACAAAATATAATCAACCAATGTAAACAAATTAATTAATGTAATTAAAGGATATTTATGGTAAACGATTGATTTGATTGTTGATTAATTGTCGGTCAATTTTTATTTTCATTCAAAATAAATAGTTAACTTGATTGTGCTGATTATTGTTATAATTATTAAATCAAACTCTCTATCTCCTTTGACAAGGTTAATTGTGATCAACACTAAATCAATTGTAATTGTTACAAATATTAGGAAAGGATTATCATTAAAAGTGATGGTTAATTGTGTTCAACTGGTTTAATCGTGATGAGACCAACCTAATTTACTTTGTAATGATTAACACTTTCCCAAATTTCCAACACAAGTAGTAAATTGTTACAATTGATTATCGGTGATTATTAGTGATGAGTTGATTGCGACGGTGACAATTTAAAATTACACACATATAACTTACTCCAAACAAGATAATTGAAGTTTTCAAATAATCAATTTCCACTGTAACAATTCAGTTGATTACAATGATTAAGTTAATCACGTAAACGATCAATGTGTAATAATAATCTAACAATTTTTCTTGTTTTTTTTTTCAGTTTGAAAAAAAAACTGACCTCAACTCGTTTACTTCATTGGTGGTCAGTTGATCTCCAAGTAAATGGTCAAGTAAAAGTTACAAGAAGATTTCAAGTTGATGTCGGAAAGGTAAAAAATGAACGGGAATAAGATGATCATGAAAACGGTATCATTGATAATTTAATGATCGGAAAATAATTTAATTGTTTGGAAAGGTTAATTGAGGTCAATTTGATTGAATAAATTTACCTAAGAAAAGCAATTGTAAAGGTGATGGAGGTTAAAAGATGAAAACTAATCAAGAATACGAATAACAGTTTACCAATTTGATTTGCCGCTGACGGATCATCATCAAAGTATCCATGCTACTTATCATCATCATCTTCATCATCCTCCTCCTTTTCATCCTTATCTTCATCTTCATCATCTTCATCTTGATCATCAACTCATCATGAAGATGATGATGATGAGCATCATTTTCATCTTCCTCCTTCCTAGAAGGTTAATAAACCCATGAAACTGTCAATAAGTTTGAAAGGTTACCCAGTAAACCACATTACGGCTTCCAGGCTTTACCTTCATTTCTAATAATAGCCTAAGGTCATTTAGGAAATTTCCTTTTTCTCTTTGTCATGATTAACTTGGATAACAAAAGATTCTTCAGCCAAATCCAACTAATCAACTAATTACATATTATCTACATAATATCTCATAGAGATGCAATTGATTCAATGATGGAAAATTGTATTGATAACATTTTGCAAATTCGCGAATCAAAGTTTCCGGATACACAATTTACTAATTGCTACACGGAGTAAAAAATGATCTAGAAAATTAGATTTGATGATGAGAGACCTTGATTACAATCTTTAAGCAATCAACTATCAGAATTTTTAATACAAACTGAGATTGGATAATAATTAAGTACAGTTGATTGAGTTCGAAGTATTTTTTTCCATAGGATTTTTTTCACGGTTCCTTAAACTACAATGATATTAAAAGGATAACAAACCAAAGGTAAAAGTTATCAGTTGAAAAATAGTGAATTAAAATGTTACATTGATGATGATTAAGATGAAGATGAAGATGAAGATGAGGAGATGCTCTAGTTATTGATGAAGGTAAAGATTAACAACAAGAAAATCCTATGTAATGATTGAGACTTAAATTAACTTGTTACCATTTGATTGTATTGATTGAGTTGCTCACACAGTTTTTTTTCACAGTTTTTGATTGATAAACGTTGATTGTTGTTAAATTGTTACCTGATTGTGTACCGATGATTGTGTTTGCCGAGTAAAGGTAAAAAAAACAATTATGTTTACCTGTATGTGTTTGTGAGGGTTAAAGGTTACCAAAGTCAGTGGACAATTTATCATATTTTGAGCTTTCCTGTGGTCAGTAAGTTGAGTTCGCGGGACTTTTTCCTAATGGTCAGTCTTTTCAATCTCATCTATTAATAGACATTGAGTAACAATTAAGCCAACAGGTAGGTAATTGAGCTATTTAAATTGAGAAACAATAAATTGATTTCTTTTGCTTTGTGATGTAATTTTAATTGTTGTTTGGTTTAATTGATCTTGACCTTGAAAATTATTTCACTTTGACTTTTGACCTGGTCAAGTATTGATTTGCTATTGGTCAATTTTACGAAATTGATTAATGTTGATCAATTTAGTTGTTTGATGATTAAAGGAACAATTTATTTCCTTAATGGATTAACCATGTTTTCCCTTAAGATAATTGTTAACGATTTTAACGATCTCTAACTAATCATGATAACCCGATGGAAAGGACCAATTAACTAATACGATGGTCATTCAAAAGGTAACTTCTTAGTAATCGCTCTCGTAGTCCTAGTGGTCATCTTCATCTTCATCTTCATCCTCATCTTATCTAAACTCACTGACCAGCTACTGGACAAGATAAACAACGAAAAGAAAATCTTTTCAAATTTTTGTCTCTCAAATCATCTAATCACTTTGCTCTTCCTGATTATCAGTTTGTTAACAATTTAAAAGTTGATTATGATGATCATCATGAAGATGAGTAGTGATCATCAGTTGAAATTGAAACAATTAACTAACCTGACAGGTTTTGATGAGTGAACATCAAACATGCGCTGGACAATGGAAAGCATGTAGATCAATGTGGTTTTTTAATTGTTAAAGTGGACATCAAATCTATTTCCTATTAAGTGTTAATTACCTTTTAAATAGTGAACATCATACTTATTGTGTGTTTTTTAAACAAAGTGTTAATTAGTTAACTGAAAGTCACAAAGGTAAAAGGTAAGTAAAAAATTAAGAATTGATTTAATTCTGAAAAGCAACAATTACTATTATTATTAATATTAATAATAGGAAAATGAATTCAAATCAGTAAATTAAAACAAAAAATATTAACCAAATAAAACTAAGTAAATTATGAACATCATGTAATCAACACATCGAGTTAAATTTAAATTGTGAATTATGGTGAACTCAACAAAGGTCATAAAAGGACGAACCATCAAGGAAAAGTCAATTCTATCTAATGGCAAAGATCTCAAATCAATTAAATACCAAGTCAAATGGCGACGCAATTAAGGAAAACAAATCAAATCAATCAAAATGGTGGAATCATCATCAAAAATTAAATTAATAACAATAATATTTGATAAAATAATAACAATGTATAATCAAATCAAAGAAAATAATATTAATTCAATTGGATTATAATTCAAAAGAGCCAGAAGGCGACTCCGAGAGATAATCATGACAAGATTATCTAGAAGTTTTCACCTTCTAAACTGTTGTAATTATATTTCAGTTTTAATTAAAACCTTATAAACTAAACTAAACTAAACTAAACTGTAACTAAATGTTTAATTATCATCTTCATCATCATCATCAAGTGTATTAGTGACCATTGGGATATATAACCTTAATCTTGACCAAGGGAAAAATTATCAGCCATTTACAAGAGTGTTAACAAAATTAACAAGGGTCAGTTAATAAACTAATGGTCAAGATATTGATTATAACAATTTTCAATTGGCAATACAACGGTCAATTTTTTCTTAAAATTTATATAATCATACTGAAGATACCTAATGGCCATTTATAAACTGGACATTAAGGTGAAAAAATATGTAAAAATTATCGTTGATAATAATTGTTACCTTGATGAAAGAAAAATTGACCAAAATTAGGCCAAAAATGAGGTTAAAATAATAATAGATAATGACGACGACGATGAGGAAGAGGAAAGATCAGAATGACTATCGAAATGGACATAAGACTGACCATAGACAGTAGCGCCTTTCGAGTTATTTTTCAGAAAATTTCTCTTCATCTCAATCACCTTTAACCCTTTTCTTTTACTCATTTACCTTGACCTTCATCAATCATGTTGATACTTTGTTAACCTTTCATCTTTCTTGTCTTCCTCATCTACTGGTCAGTCTCATGGTCATTCTAATTCTCTCTCTCTCTCTTTCTCTGTTACCTGTTGATACCTTTTTCTAACAATAAAATGTATGAACAAAGATACAATTAAATGTAAAACTAAATGATAGTTAAAAGTGTTAACCTAAACTTTTAATTAACTTTAATAACAATTTACACTTTCTTGTTAATGAATGAGTCGTGTTAATGATCATGTTAATCTGTGAACACAAAAGTTGATTACAGTTAATCACCAAACACCTTAATCCAGTTTCTAAATCTCTCCAATATAAAGTTAATCATAATCACCGTAATAATATG